ATCTCATCAAAGTCCTCTTCATCACTGTCCAGTAAGCCGTCAAAACTGACGTTTAGATCTTCTATTTATTTGTCCACATCCATCTATACAGCTAAAAGAAGTCATCATTAATATTGAACAATGTAGAAATGAGCGCAAAAGTAACCAGAATGAGCGTGTAAAGGGGCATGCGGCACAAAGACTCCCGTTTCGCGCGTTTGTGTATTGCACGCAATTCACGCGCGCGGAGACGCAGGAAGTGAAAACGGGAGTCGCCGCAAAAACGCCGCGGCGTTCAATGTGTTAAGAAGAGAGACGATCTAACGAGGAAGAATGCATAGTGGTTGTGTGTCTTCATCGATGTCTTGGCCCATACGTCCGACGCTGAAAGTGCAATAGCCTACAGGGGACAGTAGGTATCGAACTAAGCGCTGGTGCTGCGACATGCTAACGTGCTACCGATTTATTTAATTCGAAAGGATGGAACACCCGGGCGTTCTGGCGGCGGCTGATATTCCATCCTTTCGAATTAAATAAATCGGAATTCTTGAAAAGCAACGTGTAGTTTGACTATTTAGTACCACAACTTAATGCTTGTTTCTTCAAACATAGGATTATTGAAATGAACTTTTACTTGAGAAATTTGCAGCTGCGCACCACTCGGAGAGATCGCCAAAGGCGTTGATTTTGTCCAGTGATCGTTGGTGGTCCTGAAAACGGTTTGGTATAGAGGATTAACTTTCAGTTTCCACTTCAGCCTTCCTTTTTTGTAAACGGCTGCACTTAAAGGGCAAACGATTGAGAAGTCAGTATTCATCTCCTGCTAGAAAGTATTTGTGGCTACGCCGGCCTAGTGAGAGCTCGGTCAGGAATTTGAGAGAGACTTTCGTGAGCAAGTGGTGCCATTTGTCCCTACATCACCTCGGCCAGAACCGTTAAGGCAACGGTCATACTTAACGACTCGAGCTTTTCATTCAAACGACCGAAGACGCCCATGCTTCTCTGATACTGCTGTACCGCCGCAAAGGACTGAAAAGAAACCTTCTATGTATATTGTTAAAGTAGCATTACCAGCAGTGCAATGGTTCAGCAATGGGATGCGAATAATTGCTCCCGCATAAATGAAGAATCGCGCGAAAATCTCAAGTTGCGAAGTATGAACGCTGCTCTACACGAATGCAATCCTTTAGAGGAGGTAGTGGACTTCGTGGAGTTCTTTCTTGAAAGGTGTTACTATTATTACTGTTCGGCGTCGGGCTTTCTGGGATTAGAGTTTCCCACATACAAAAGGTTACATCCCACAAGATAGAGCAGCAGAAACGCAGGTGTGGGTAAAGAGATTTGCGCCGCGGTGAAAGCGGCGTTGCAAATGGCGCAGATTTGGAACACAATAGGACGCGGCGCAGCGGAACCTAATGAATCCAACGTGCATGTGCTACAGGATGTGTAGTCAGTCAGCCAGGGATCACTACTCACTTTCTACGCACGGTTCCAAGGTATCTCCCAATCCACTCTTTCCGATCGCCAGCTAGATTAGGCTTTAAAGTACGGGAGTTGTCCATGTGTACATAAGTCACGGCATTTTTGAATTAGTACCTGTCCCTTGTCTGCCGCTTCATTTTCGAATTCAACGGCTGCACGACGGCAATTCACTTCCCGAGATTTTTCATCGATTGTTACGTATACATTTGCATGCCTCCTTTGGGGTGGGATCGCATATCTGGAAACAAGGGTTGGAAAGCGTTGTAGTTTCTAGTTCTGAAGATTTTGTTTTTTCAAAAAGAAAAGCAGCAGCTCCACCGCTGCTGCGGCTTTTCCTCCCCATAACAATCGGTTCAGACCAGCAACTACTGGTTGAAGGCGCTGCCGCAAGTGGGCTCTCCACACCTACTGGCGCTCAGAGCGCGCCGTCATTGCGAAAATCACAACGGAGAGGGGATTGAGGGTTTCGTGAGCGCAGAGCTCTCAGAAAGGAAAAGAGCAGCAATTCTGAAATGTCCGCACAATCTGGTTGTAGAAAAAAAAGAAAAAAAACAGATTTTATTCATGGTTCTTAAAGAACTCCTGAACAGACACTTGAAGGCACATAGAGGAAAGTTGCGAGCTCACGAATGACAGTAGTCACTGTAGGCACCCAAGACGATGTCATAAATTAATGAGGTAGCGCTCAGATTTGTCGCGCTTTCGCTGTCGCTTGTAATTGAACACCCTACAATTACAAGCACGCTCCAACTGTACCAGACCACAGCTTCCCTGTAATTCTTTCTTCCGGTATTCAACCTTTTTCACTGTTCTCATTTCCACCTAATTCTTAGCTTCTCTTTTTCATTTGGAGATTGAATTTTGATGTAGTTTTTGAAGTTTTGACGACGTTTTGAACTTTGTGAAATTTATGAGTTTTTGACGACTAGTTTTTTTGAATAGGTATACGCAATTTACCACAGCGTTTTGTATCAAAAGCTCTTTTAAATTCGATGTCAAAGTGAAAAAGAGGAGCTAAGAATCAGGTAGAAATGAGAAACAGTGAAAAAGGGATTGAATACCGGAAGAAAGGACATAAAGGGAAGCTGGGGTCTGGTACAATTGGAGCGTGCTTGTAATTGCAGCGTGATCAAGTACAATCGACAGCGACAATCGAAGCGCGAGTTTGGACACTGCCTAACGCAGAAGGGATGTCAGTCGGTGCCGAAATAAGTGTTTCTAATAACTTCGACAAGAAGATGTGTTCTTGAGACTTACTCATGTCTTCAAGCGAATTGGAAATGATTCCGCGCAGGTAATGTTGATTGTTTGCTTCGTCCGAAGTCTATCACAACAAAATGACAAAGGGAAATTTTTCGAACAGCGGATGTGAGGAAAGAACGGGTGCTTTTTAGTGAGGAAGTCTTCTAAAATCCCGCAATGCTCCTGATTCCTTGAGAGGTCACGAAGAAAATTACAGCTGCTCAACGTGAGAAAACTCTTGGGTGACCCTAAAATCCAGCAACGAAACCACAACAAAATCTTCTTCTTTGTCTCGCCCGTGGCAGGGTCCGCTTGCCTTATTTTGTCACGCCACTTCTCCCGATTAAATGCTTGATCGGGATGGGTGCCAACCACCTTCAAGTCCGCATGCAACGTGTCTGACCAGCGCTGCTTGGGGCGTCCTTTAGGCCGCTTTCCGGGAACTTCGAGCTCAAGACCAATCTTACGTGTCACAATTCGCGCGAAGAACATGACCGTACCATCGAAGGCGAGCTTCGCGCATTTTCTCGGCCACAGGAGCAATACCGAATCTCTTCCTTATGTCGTCATTGCGTATGCGATCCATACGCGTGACACCGGCGGTCCATCGCAACATTTTCATCTCCATGACTCCTAGGCGCGCTTCAACTTCTCTGGTCGTAGGCCAACATTCAGCCATATATCGCGACTGGTCGAACGACGGTCCTATAGATCTTCGATTTGAGGCGATCTGGTATCGTCTTGTCGCAGAGAACGCCAGTCATAGACCGCCACTTAGACCAGGCTGCACTCACACGCGCGCTCACTTCTGAGTAGAGACTACCGTCAGACGTAATTGTTGATCCGAGGTATTTGAACGTTGTCGTTCGCGTGAGCACACTGCCGCTGACCCTAAGGGAACCAGACTCGTCCGGGTCAGTCGTCAGGTACTCGGTTTTCTTGACGTTCAATCTGAGCCCGAAGTTTGCTAACCGTTCAGTCCAAGCTTGCACTTGTTCCTCGAGACCATTCTTATCCTCGCAGGCGAGCATCACATCGTCAGCGTAGAGAAGCGTCCAAGGAGCCGGCTTCTGGAGGTCCCGTGAAATGGCGTTCATGACGACAACGAAGAGCAGCGGGGAAAGCGCTGAGCCTTGGTGCACCCCAACTGTGATGGGGAACCCCATCGAAATGCCTGCTGGACTTCGCACTCGACTCGTCGGGCTGAAGTACAGGATGCGTACCCACTCAATCAGCTCTTCGGGAACGCCGTGCTGCCGTAAGGCATACCATATAACTTCACGTGGAACACGGTAATGCCTTTTCCCGATCAAGGGAGGGTAGGTGGACATGCTTCATCTTCTCACGATGTTTCTCTAGCAAGAGGCGAGCGGCATGTATGGCGTCGATGGTGCTACAGCCAGTCATTAAGCCACACTGATTGGTAGCGAGCTGGACGATATTACGAAGACGCTTATCAACAATTCAAAAATTTTCATGCTGTGCGAGAGCAAGCGAATTGGACGATAATTTGAGCAGTCTGCAGGACTGCCTTTTTTCTTCCAGATCGGTACCGTCGTGCTCTCTTGCCATACTTCGGGCATTTTCTTCTCTGCAACGACCTGATTGAAAAACGTCAACCATTCGGCAGCATGCCAGCAGTGTGACTTCCATACTTCGACCGCCACGTCGTCAGGGCCCGTTGCCTTGCCTGGCTTCATCTTCTTGAGAGCCGCCTCCGTTTCCTCCACGCTTATCTTCTGAACGGGACCGTATGTTGGTAAGGCGCAGGGGATGGCCGGGTGTTCATATTCCACTGTGGAAATTTCTCCGAAGTAGTCGCGCCATCGCCTCAGCACCTTTGTTCGGTCCATCAGAAGGCGGCCCTTCTGATGCCAAAGAACTTCTCTACATCTTCGGTCTGGCGGTGACGAGCCTTGGCAAGTCGGTAGATGTGCCGCTCGCCATCCGCGTTTCCAGCTTCTTGCTGATATCTTCGAAGTGAGCGGCTTTTGTAGCAGCCACAGCCTTCTTTGCCGTACTTCTCGCTTCCTGATACTTCCGCCAGTTGTCAGCTGACTTGTCTTTGAGGAACAAGTGATAGCGCTTCTTCTTCTCGTGAACCTTTAGCCTTACGTCATCTGTCCACAACCATGCCTGCTTTTCAATTCTACGCCTTCCAGGTTTCGTTGTGCCAAGTTCGGAGCGAGCGGCCTGAACTATCGCTTTGGCGGCATTCTTCCATGTTTCATCGACAGTTGTGACGGTTGGTAATCGAATGCGAGAGATCACAGCTGCCTCCTTCTCTTTAGATGCCACCATTTGATCTCTCGGGACCACATCGCTCTATCTGTTTCGACCTGGGCGGTGTTATCTTCAGCGTACAGATAAGCGGGCGATGTTGCGAGGCTACTGTCTCACGGTTTTCGCGTCTGTGACAAGTCCTTGATCGCGATGCCTGACAAGAACAAAGTCTATTTGTGTTCTGGCACTCCCGCTGTAGAAGGTAATCAGGTGGGAGTCGCGTTTACGGAACTTTGTGTTCACGATGGCGAGATTATGGGCTTCTGCATATTCCAGGATGCGTTCGCCATCGACGTTACGTGTT